GAACCCAAAACACTTAATTGAAGACATATACATCCATATATTCATTGCAGCATTATCTATACTAATAAAAGGGTAATATGCTAATTAGGCCAGGAGACATTCCTGGAGACCTTCTGGATGTCCTTCCAGACAAAGCCATGGTGATGGGGCTGAGGCAGAGGTGGTTAGGGTGATGAGGCCAGAAGGGGAGGGCAGTTGGGGGCAAGCAGGCCAGCAGTGGGGGGCAGTTGGGGGCAATCAGGCCAGCAGGGGAGGGCAGTTAGGGGCAATCAGGCAGGCAGGTAGAGGCAGTTAAGGGTGATCAGGCAGGTAGGCAGAGAGGTCATGGGGCTATCAGACAGGCAGGCAGAGGGGTTAGGAGCGATCGGGCAGGTAGGCAGGTGAGCGGTTAGGAGCCAGCGGTCCCAGATTGCGAGAGGGATGTCTGACTGCCAGTTTATTGTGGGACCGGGCCTAAAATGGCAGTTGGACATCCGCAAAGGGATCCCTAATTGGAGAAGGTGCAGGCTGGGCTGAGGGACCCCTTCTCAGCACCCCGTGCACCGGGCCACTAGTTTACAATAGCATGATATGGAAGCAACCTAAGTGTCCATCAGTAGATGCATGGATAAAGAAGTAGTACATATGTTACTCAGTGTCTAAGGTTCTTGGAAACTCAATAAAAATAATACTCAAGTGAGAGATGTATTAGCACATTGCACTTTTATTATTATAGATAGGTGGATCCAGAGCAGTGATTTTCAACCTTTTTCATCTCATGGCACACATAAACCAATTAATAGAATTCTGTGGAAAATCAAAAATATTTTTTGCTGATTTGACAAAAAAAAAAAAAAAAAAAAAAAAAAAAAAAAGGTGTAATTTTGATGGATTTACCAAAAACAAAAAACAAAAATAATAGTGATTAACAACTTTTTTACTCCAAAGTGACTTTTTAAAAAAATCAAGTGCCTATAATTGTATATAAGAATTTCTGGTACCAAGAATTAACCAATCAGAAACAACCTTATTATGCAACATGACCAATAAGATGCAACTCTATATGACCTATATATTTATGGTTCAAGACAGCGCATTTACACTAGACAACTACTGTGTTGGCTATTGACTTTTATTATTTTATTTGATAATATAGGGGAAGAGAGGTCAGTGCCCCTGCATGTTTTTAAATGTTTTGCAGCACCCAGTTGTGAGCAATGGTACACTGGTTGAAAACCACTGACTTGGAGCGTATTGTGATGAGTGAAATAAGTCAGAGAAAGACAAATGCCATATGATTTCTCTTAAACATGGAATCTAAAAAATAAAATAAACAAGCAGAACAGAAACAGACTTATAGATACAGAGAACATTTTGACAGTTGCCAGATGGGAGAGGGAGTTGGGTGAAAAGGTGAAAGAATTAAGTACAAATTGGTAATTACAAAATAGTCCTGGGGATGTAAAGTACAGCATAGAAAATATAGTCATTAATATTGTAATAAGTATGTATGGTGTCAGATGGGTACTAGAATTATCAGGGTGATCCCTCATAAGTTATATAAATGTCTAACCACTGGGTTGTATACTCAAAACTAACATTGTATGGCAACTATAAAAAAATTTTTTAAAAATTACTTTAAAAATCCAAAAAATAGCACTAGCTGGTTTGGCTCAGTGGATAGAGCATCAGCCTGTGGACTGAAGGGTCTCAGGTTCAATTCCTGTCAAGGGCACATGCCTGGATTGCAGGCATGATCCTCAGAAAGGGGTGTGCAAGAGGCAGCCAATCAATGATTCTCTCTCATCATTGATGTTTCTCTCTCTCTCTTTCTCTTACCCTGCCTCTCTGAAATCAATAAAAATATTTTTTATAATAATAAAAATTCAAAAAATATTTAGATGTAGTTTTTAATCTTATCATATTTCTTTTGTTAATCCTCATTGAAGGATATTTTTTCCACTGATTTTTAGACAGAGTAGAAGGGAGGGAAGGCAGGAGAGAGAGAGAGAGCAAGATCCATGTGAGATATACCACCTGGTTGGATCCCAAACGCCCTAACTGGGACAGGGAACCAATTTGCGACTCTGGTGCATGCCCTTGACTGGAATGGTACCAGCAACCCTTGAGCGTGTGGGGACTAATACTCTAACCACTGAGCCCCACTGGCCAGGGCATGTCATATTTCTTTCTCAGTCAAATATTATCTGTCAATTGACTTGTCAAAATTAAAAAGCAAGATCTATAAAATGTAATAGATATACTTGGGTTGACATCTTACAAAAATATTAAGAAATATTCCTAAATATAGCACTGTTAACTACACAAGATTCACAATCATAGCAAAAATGAGAGTACTTTGCCTGGCTAGCGTGTCTTAATAGTTGAGCATCGTCCTATGAACCAGGAGGTCACAGTTCGATTCCCGGTCAGGGCACATGCCCAGAGTGGGGTGTGCAGAAGCAACCAATGGATGATTCTCTCTCATCGTTGATATTTCTTTCTCTCTCTTCCTCTCTGAAATCAATAAAAATATTTTTTTAAATGAGAGTAATTTTGAGCAGTGATGACAAATTGAGGTGTTAATGAGCTATAAAAATAAATACCTTAGATGTATGCTCAGATATTATGAGTCAGAGCTTAGTGTGGTATTTGTCATTTATTTAATAATCATGTTTACTCAACTCACTTTATTACAATGACCAATTTAATAAACAGCTATCAACTTGATTGGAAAACAGATTAAGACATGGCGATGTAACATTTTGCAAGTATAGCCACAATAACCAGTTAGATTATTCTTGTGAAAAGTACAGTATGTGTAGTTTAGAGGCTGGCTGTGGGCAACTTCCTGAAATGAAGAAGACACCAAAAATCTGGTTAACTTGTTCCTGATTTGATATACTATTCTTTTAACTTCAAGTTGGTGAACAGATCACAAAGTTCCAAAACTACCGTGTTTCCCCGAAAATAAGACATCCTCCGAAAATAAGACTTACTTACAGGTTTCCTTCTGAATGAAATATAAGGCATCCCCCCAAAAATAAGGCCCCCCAGGCTCTGTCTCAGAATGCTATTGCTAAACATGAGAGATTTGGTCCACTGATTCTGAAAGAAATGGAGTCCAGGAAATTCAGGAATTGGATTGTTATGATGATGTTCCAGAAGATGATGACCTGATTGTCATTGAATAAATGAGTAAATTCTTGATACTGTAGGATTCACAGTTTGTCTGGTTTGTGTTGACAACTACCGTACTACCGTACCATATACAGGTAATAAATTTCCTTTATTTTCTTTTAACAATAAATGTGTACCGTATTCTTCTTCATGGAAAAATAAGACATCCCCTGAAAATAAGACCTAGAGCATCTTTGGGAGCAAAAATTAATATAAGACAATGTCTTATTTTCGGGGAAACAGGGTAGGTATAGCAACTCAGATTTACAGATTTAAAAAGTGATAGGATTCCCTTAAGACTTCAATCATCAAGTAAACCCTGGCCAGGTAACTTATCGATAGTTGGTTAGAGAGACCTCCCAATACATCCCGATACTCCAAGGTTGCAGGTTCCATCCCTGGTCATGTTCTTATAGGAATCAACCAATGAAAGCATGAATGGGTGAAACAACAAATCAATCTCTCTCCCTCTCCCTCTCTCTCCCTTCCTCTCTGAGAGTCAATTTTAAAAATATTTAAAAAGTTTATTAAACGTTCAAATGAAATTCAAGTTATATAGCTATCTACTGTAACAATGTGATTAGTTACATTAATTAATTTTCAATAGGAGAGTACAACACACTTAAATGATCGCTCAATAAAAGCATATTTTTTTACTGGAGATTTATATATATATATATATATATATATATATATATATATATATAAATCTTAAAATTGGGCTTTCACCTTTCTTCTTTTAAACTCTTACTCCAAAATTTCCTTATGCAGAAGAAAAAAAATGCCTTTTAAAAACAGGTTAGGAAACAGTTGAGATTTTGGTTTCCAACAATTGTCCAGTTTGGGCTCAAATAAAGTCTTATAAATATAAAGATTAAAAAGTAAAAAAAGAAAAAACAGATTATAATGATACTTCAGCTAACAAAAAAAATATGAAAGACCCTATTTTGATATTGAATTACAATTATTTTAAGACTAATAATGCGTTGTCATTTGAAGTCACTGCAATGAAATAAGTTATTACTCAGTGTTTCTATTTCCCCATGTTTTCAAAAACATTCATCAATATTGTTCTCTAACATTAATCAAACCCGGAGTACTTTCAGCTTCCAGCATTTGGCTCCAGGGGAACAAGTTTTCTTACATCTCCAAGGGCTAAAAAAGGGGAAAGAGCCAGGGAGATTTTTTTTTTCTTCTGGATTCAAAGGAGTACAATTAAACTGGTGGATATAACTCAGTTTGGTGTTTTTTTGTTTTTGTTTTTGTGGTTCGACGGCTCTCCGCTTCTCTTTGCATTCATTTCAGCTCCCAAGTTCCTCTTCCCGGCCGCCTCCCCCTCCCAGGCCCCGTTTCTTCCATGCTCCTGAGCTGTGCTCCCCGACAAAACAAGTCGCATTATTTTCAAACTTCAAACAAATTTCAAACAAAGAAGTCGCATCGTCTTCAAACTCTCTCTGCGGCCGCCCAGGGTCCCCCCCCCAGCCGCAGCCCCCGCCCTCCCCGCTCCCACCGGCCTCGGCGGGAGGACAGGTGGGCGCGGGCGGGGTGCGCACCTGGCGAGGGCGGCGCCCGGGCCCGGCGGGGGGAGGGGAGGGGAGGGGAGCCGCTTCCTCCCCGCCGCCCCCGCTCGCTGGGCGGTGACTCACCGCGGGGACCGGCGGGCAGAGGTGAGCGGCCGCCCGGCGCCGGGGGGCGGGGCCGCCAGGTCCGGCAGGTCCGCCCCGCCCCGCGCCGCCCCGCGCCAGAGTGCGCAGTCCGCCGGCCAGTGCGCGTCGCCCCGGCCCCGGAGCATCCCGCAGGCAGAGGCCTCTTCTCTTCGCGCTCGCGGCCCGGAGACCCCCTCCTCCCGCGCCCTCCTCCTCCGCGCGCGCAGCATGGCGCCCCCCCAGGTCCTCGCGATCGGGCTTCTGCTCGCGACGGCGGCGGTGGCCGCGGCTCAGAAAGGTGGGGAGCGGGATGGGGGGCGGGGGGAGGACTGGCCTGGGCGCAGGGCGGGGTGTGGGTTTGGGGAAGGGGAGCGCTGCCGCGCGTTGCCGGCTGGAGACCGGAGACCGGAGCGCGCGGGCGCGGCGGCGGGTGGGGACGCACAGAGGCGCCCACTCGCGCGGGGGCCGGGAGCAGCCTCGCCGGGCGGCCGTGCCGTCTTCTCTGCGGAGGTGGCCGGGTCCGGGGCGCAGTGGGGGCGGGGGATGGAGGGGGCGCGTCCGGGGGTTCTTCGGACTCGGTGTGTGCGGCGCACTCGGGGTTCTGGAGGGGCCGGGACCGGCAGTCTTGGACGGCGACCGGCCACCCGCCCCTCCCGGATGTGCGGCTTCGGGAGGCCACCTGCGGGGAGGGCACCCTGGCCGCTCCGCACCTGCGGGCGGGAGAGGGTCCTCCTGGACTTTGCAGTGCGTTGTAGGTGTTTTCTTTTCTCTAAGGATCATATTAGTAATGCCAGCTTTAGTGTAGGGAACCCAGAAAAATGAATAACCCTAAAGGGTAAAAAAAAAAAAACCACCCATAATCCCGCCACTTAGAGAGAATCCCATAATTAATAATTGGGTATGTTTTTCTCTTTAACCTTGTTCTAAATGTTGCCTAAATCTAAACACAGTTTTATATCTTGATTTCCCACCATGCATCCAGTTTTACATTTTCTTTAATGTTGGAAAACAGAATAGTCCATATCGTGGAAGGTCACACCATTATCCAAATGTCGGGCGTGTAGTTTGACTTCAGTTTTTCTTACTCTCGGATAAACCTCTTGGCTGTTACCATTTGTAAGATGGTGGGCAGAAGTATGTGGCTATTGGCCAAAGTTTTCTGGGAAGGGTTTTATACCCTCACCAACAGGGCACAGCCTCATTAATTACCCTTTCAGAGTGATGCAGTTTAAACAACTCATGGGTTTCTAGATTCTGTCTGGGGTGAAATACTGAAATCTTAAAATCCCTTTAAAGTGATGATAGCTGCTATAGTCTGTGTTCAGAAAGTGTTCATGATTGGTCTGTTTTAAACTTGACATTGCTCTGACATGAAAAGTGTGCTTTGAGCAGGTATAAGATTTTAACTCTTTGGGGACAGCCACTATACTTTCTCCATTTTTTAATCCTAATATTTAGTTTCGTGTTGATAGGGTATGTAGGTGGTTAGTATTGATTATACGAATTTAAACGGGGCAAACATAAAGCCAACTTGGGCCATGAAGGATCAATATTAAATTTCTTTGGTTTGTCGCACTACTTTTGTTTTTTAATGATTGCACTCTCTTAACTAGAAGAAATTAGGTGGGCTTGCCATTTGAAGTTAACATTTACTTTTGAGATAGTCAAGGATATAACTATTACACTAACGTCAGTAATCAGGATGGGAGCAAAGTTGGGTACCAGGGCCCCTGGCAGGTGGTTCAGTTGTTTGGAGCGTTGTCCTGTCCCATGTCCTGTTTCCTACACCTAAAGGTGGTGAGCAACCAATTGATGTTTCTTTCCCTTATCTATATCGCTCTTCTCCCCCTCCCCCCTTCCTCTTTAGAAAAAAAAAAAAAAAAGTTGGAAAGTTGGGTATGTGTTAGGAAACCCACATACTGAAGTGCTCCCAAATTCAACTGAAAGTATATATTTTTTAAGATACAATATAGCCCAGGTGCTGAATATGTTCCTATTAAATCCCAAAGCAGGAATCTCTTAATAAGAAAATCCAGGTTGAGGGAAGGAGGAAGGAAATGGAATTGTTGATTTTAGAAGACAAGTCGATAGCTGACAGGCAAGGGTTTATCTCAGCATGACAGCGAGGAGGGAAGGAGCTGACCCTGGGACTGTTATAAAGGCCAAGCGAAATAGGATGTTTGGAGGGCTATATTCTTGGTTTAGAAAATCAGAACAGGAATGTGTGCAAATTAGAGCATATATCTATATTATACATACAAATTATGTCAGCCACTCGCAGCTGAAAAGTAAAACATTCAGGACCACTTTGAAAGGCTTTGTGTCCCTGTAACCTGGACACTATGATCACAATGCAATTTAGCAGGGACACCAGAGTTGATAGTTGGGCTCACATTTTAAAGTGGATTTTTTCCTGTTCTTTTTCTTCCTAGACTGTATCTGTGAAAACTACAAACTGACCACAAACTGCTCTGTGAGCATGGATGGTCAGTGCCGGTGTACTTCCATCGGCACACAACATTCCGTCGTCTGCTCAAAATGTGAGTAGAGTATCTTCCAGGCCTTTCAGCTTTATTTGGACGTATATTTTCTTTGATGGATGTGTATTTTGAGTTGGGAAGCCTTTTACCAGCTCAAATCTGACTCATGTTATTTTGTCAGTTCCCTTATTCCTGACAGCGTCTTTATCTTGAGAAAGTGGGGGGGGGGGGCGCGCGCACATGCAAATCTATAATAACCTTTGGCCCTGGGAAGTTAAATTAAAATTCCTTTCCCTTAAAGAATATAACTGCAGTTATTTTTCAGTATGACGTTAAGCTTGTTGTTGTTGTTGTTTTGTAGTGGCTACCAAGTGTTTGGTGATGAAGGCAGAAATGTCTCACTCCAAGTCTGGGAGGAGACCAAAACCCGACGACGCCATTCAGAATAATGACGGGCTCTACGATCCCGAGTGTGACGAGAACGGGCACTTTAAAGCCAAGCAGTGCAATGGCACCACCACCTGCTGGTGTGTGAACACTGCCGGCGTCCGAAGGACGGATAAAGACACCGAGATAACCTGCTCCGAACGAGTGAGGACCTAGTGAGTGGGGTTGCCTGTTCTGTTTGCTTTCGTGCTTTTCAGATTTGTTTAATTAAACTTATTTTTGAATAAGTAATCTCATGATTTAGAATTCAACAGATGGAAGAGGGAGTATAGCGAAAAGTCTCCATCCCGTCTCAAGCCCCTAGTGACCCAGTTTAACTCTATAGAACTGATTCACTAGTTTATTCTACAACCTTCCAGAGATAATTTATAAATTTACTAGCAGTATTTATTTATTTATTTATTTATTTATTTATTTATTTTTTACGGTAGCATATGGAACATAATGTTCCTTTAACATTTTTACTCAATACTGTTCAGTATTTTAAAGTTTGGTTAGTATTAAATGTATATGAATGATTTAAGCTACTTAGGTATTTGCTCACTTATAGTGGTGTTTTTGTTGCTTTGTTATTTTAAAAAATATTTTTCATTGATGTCAGAGAAGAAGGGAGAGGGAGAGAAAATGATGAGAAAAAAATCATTGATCCGCAACCCAGGCATGTGCCCTTGACTGGAATCAAACCTGGGACCCTTTAGTCCACAGGCTGACACTCTGTCCATTGAGCCAAGTCCGCTAGGGCTTGCTTATAGTTTTAAAATGAGATATGGTTGTCTTGAGGATTATGTAATGAAAAAGAACAGAAACACACTCAAGCTACCATAAGTAAAAAAGGTTTTATTGGAAAGAACTAGGAACTGAAAAGGTATCAAGACCAAGATGGTCACTCTCTACATTTCCTTCTCCTGGAGCCTCAAGGTACTCTTGGCGTCTTTCTGTATCTTCACTGGACCTCGGCCCAACATGACCAGCTGAGCCTTGACTTGACACAACCAGAGGCCTGAGAGTTAGTGTTAGAAAGGGTGTTCCCTCCTGGATGAGTTCTTTTTTTTTTTAATACATGCAAGAGTTTATTTAGAAAATCACAGAGGTAGAAATGAGTAGTAGAAGAAGTGGGCTCAGGAAACAAGTTACAGAGGCAAAAGAAAGGCCCTTGGAGCTTAGGAGAAAGAAGCAAGGGGCCGAAACCGGTTTGGCTCAGTGGATAGAGCGTCAGCCTGCGGACTGAAGGGTCCCCGGTTCAATTCCGGTCAAGGGCATGTACCTTGGTTGCAGGCACATCCCCAGAGGGAGGTATGCAAGAGGCAGCTGATCGATGACTCTCTCTCATCGATGTTTCTAACTCTCTATCTCTCTCCCTTCCTCTCTGTAAAAAAAAAAAAAGAAGAAGAAGCAAGGGGAAAAGTGGGGGTGGCCTGGGAGAGAAGGGCGGGGAAAGGTGCTGGGGTGCTCCATAGAGAGAGCCACTGGATGAGTTCTTTATGAAAGATCTGTGAGGGCCAGGGAAAAAATTGAAGGCATATCTACTGCATTAATCCTTTTGCTGTTACCTCTACTTGGTTATTAAGAAAATAATATAATATAAAAGTCTGAATTGTTATATAGTGAATACTGTCTTTTTTATTTTACAGCTGGATCATCATTGAGCTGAGACATAAAACAAGAGAAAAACCTTATAATACTCAAAGTTTGCAGACGTAAGTGCTATTCAGTGCATTGTATTTACATGGCCGATGCTCGGATCTTCCATCCTACATTAGAAAAACTAAAACAAGTCACAATGTTTTTTTCGTATTTCTTAAAAAGATACTATAGTAATACATACTATTTTTAATCTTATTTTGAAATAGATTTGTAAGAAGAGTAAGATTCCTATAGTACTCTTTTCTTAGATTCACCAGTAAACATTTGCCACATTTTTTCTTTATATGTGTATGGGTGTATGCATGTGTGTGTGCTTTGTATATCTATCTAAGCATGTATATTTCCCCACAGAACTATATGAGAGCAAATTATAGACATCATGCCCCCAATGTTGTCCTTTATAACCATTTTTTATCCTCTGATCCAGGACCCAATCTAAGATCATGCATTGCATTTAGTTGTCATGACTGTTTTCTTTTCAATATGAAACACTATTTTGGCCTTTCTTTGTCTTCCATGATCTTGATAATTTTGAAGAGTGTGGGCAAGTTGTTTTTGTTTTGTTTGCAATAAATTTTTAATTTATTGATTTTAGAGAGAAACATTGCTCTGTTCCACTTATTTATGCATTCATTGTTTTGCTTCTTATAAGTGTGCTCTGACCAGGGATTGAAACCACAACTTTTGTGTATCAGGACAATGTTCTGACTAACTCAGCTACTCGGCCAGGGCCTGCTCTTTTAAAAAACTGATTTTTTAGAGAGAGACAGACAGAAACAAGAGACATGGACTGGTTCCTTCCCATAACACCCAACTGGGATCGAACCTGCAACCTGGGTATGTGCCCTGACTAGGAATCAGTATGCATTTAATACTGAGATCCTTCAGTAAGCATTTAATACTGAGACTCACACTGGCTACGGCTAGGCAACTTGTTTTATAGAATGTCCCTCAAATTTTGTTTTTCTGATGTTTCCTCCTAATTTAGTACAAGTTATACTTTTCATCCCCTTGGTTTATCACCAGCATCTATAAAACCAGTCTTAGAAAGGACATGAGATCACCTTGATCCTGTACTGATGTGATGGTGTTAACTGTGGTGAAGATTGTATCGCCAGGTTTCTCCACTGTAGAGTTACCATTTTCTTCTTTTTAATTAACAAATATAATCTGTGGGCAAGCTCTGGCTGGGTAACTCACTCGATTAGAGCATCTCAAGAACGCCAAGGTTGCAGGCTCTGTCCCTGGTCAGGGCACATATAAAAAGCAACCAATGAATACATAAATAAATGGCACAACAAATTAATATTTCTCTCTCCCTTCCCCTCTCTCTAAAATCAGTAAATAAAGAATTTAAAGACTAAATAAGTATAATCTGTGGGCAGATACTTGATACCCTGTTTTTAATCAAAGTAGAATTCATTAGTTTAGCATCAGTGGATGATTCTACCTGAATCAGTTATCTTGATATTTGCAAAATGGCATAAAATTTCCAAGTTTGGTTATTGACAACTCCAGACCTTGAGCTATCTGCTTTGTTAAAAATTAGTGCTTTAGGTGAAACCGGTTTGGCTCGGTGGTAGAGCGTCGGTCTGCGGACTGAAAGGTCCCAGGTTCGATTCCGGTCAGGGCCATGTATGTTGGTTGCGGGGACATCCCCAGTAGGGGGTGTGCAGGAGGCAGCTGGTCGATGTTTCTCTCTCATCGACGTTTCTAGCTCTCTATCTCTCTCCCTTCCTCTCTGTAAAAAAATCAATAAAATATATATATTTTTAAAAATTAGTGCTTTAAAAAATAATGAATTAAAATGTCTAAAATATTTTTTAATGTGTAGGACAACCATTTTTTAAAGAACGTGATTTTTTATTATTTACAGTGCGCTCACGGAGGTAATCACAACTCGTTATCAACTGGATCCAAAATATATTGGAAATATTGTGGTAAGTTTTGTTTTTTGTTCTTTTAGCAAATGAGCTTAAACAGAAAGTTGGTGAAGCAGCGTGGTTTGGATCTGATTTTTGGTGGTGATTAAATTGCATTTGAGTAACAGTTTCAGCTCTGGGAACTTCATAAAGCAAATTGCCTGTTTTATTTTTCTTTTATAGCCTTTGAAAACCTCAATTTACCCTTAAAGCAAATGTTGTATCTCTTAGTATCCCAAACACATACCAGTCTTCTTGCCCTAAGAAACGGCTCTCTGTGATTGCTGTTAGCACACATTTGCTTTTGAGTACCTAGCTCCCATCTCCTCTCGTTTCAGGAGCTAGTCCTAACCAGGTAGCTCTTCCTTAACTTTTTCAACTCTGGCTGAAAATGCTTTAATTGTGATGAAACTCTTTTAAAGCAGTCTTCGTTTACTATTGTTCCTCTAGATTAAAATTTATGTTATTCTTATTTTTAAAATAGATATATTGATTTCGGAGAGGGAGAGGGAGAGAGAGAAACATCAACGATGAGAGAGAATCATTGGTCAGCTGCCTCCTGCACACCCCACACGGGAATGAGCCTGCAACCCAGGCATATGCCCAACTGGAAATTGCACCATGACTTTCTGGTTCATAGGTTGACACTCAACCACTGAGTCACACTTGCCTGGCAAAATTTATGTCATTTTTAAAAAAATTATTTTTTTATTGATATCAGAGAGGGAGAGAGACAGAGAGAAAGAGAGAGAGAAGCATCAAGGATAAGAGAATCATTGATTGGCACTCCCCCTACTGGGGATTGAGTACGCAACCTGGGCGTATGCCCTTGACCAGAATTGAACCTGGGACCCTTCAGTACGCAGGCCGATGCCCTATCCACTGAGCCAAACTGTCTAGGGTTTATGTCATTTTTAAAAAGAGACACTTGCTTTTAGTGGAGCCCATCCCCCAGAAGCATACTAAAAACAGGTACGAGGAAGGTCCAATTTTGAGTCCTCAAATGCCTAAAAATATTGTTAGATTATTCTTATAATCGATTGATAATTTGACTTAGTATAGAATTCAAAGTTACAATTTTTCTTAGACGTTTGAAGGTATTTCTCCAATATCGTACAGCTCCAGTGTTGATATTGAAAAGTCCATTTAGTTCCAATCCTTTGTTCATGATTCATCCTCACCCTCACAAATTTTCTCTTCTCTCTTATGCTGTTATTTTTTGAATCTTGGATTTTTTCACCCTTTCCCTTCTATTGTCAAATATTCTATACTTGAGAGCTTTCTATGTCTTTGTCTTCCAAGCCTCCTGTTGCATTTTAATTTTTATTGTATTTTCTATTTACAAAAGATTGTCTCAACCTCCAACTGCTCCTCCCTTTCTATTTTTGCTTCATAGATACAATGACCTCCCCCCCCCAAACAATTTTTTCTTTTTCCTTCATTTTCACTATTCTATGCTTTCTTTCCTCTTTTCCCCTCTCTTCCCCCCATCCCCCTGGTATTTTGGTCTTTTTCATATTAAAGACTTTCTTCAAAAATAAATGACTTTTTGGAAGAAATATGCTTTTTTGCTTCCTAAAAGCAGAATGTGGTAAATACATACTGCATTTTGGATTGTGCTTCGTTAACATTTTAATTTTAAAGTACTTCTAGCCAAATATGGTACCTTAATATTTTATTCTAAAATATTTTCAAGAGAAGAAAATTTTCTTTTGATAAGAAAACATGATTGCAATTATTGTTTGCATTGCTGTCTTAGTTCCCTTGGGTAAATTTAAAGACCTCCCAAAGATTTTTTATTTTTCCAAAAATTTTTTTTAAAATAAATTTTATTGATTTTTTTACAGAGAGGAAAGGAGAGAGATAGAGAGTCAGAAACATCGATGAGAGAGAGTCATCGATCAGCTGCCTCTTGCACCCCCCCCACTGGGGATGTGCCCGCAACCAAGGTACATGCCCTTGACCGGAATCTATCCATTGAGCCAAACTGGTCTCGGCTATTTTTCCAAAAATTTTTAAAATTCTTAGTGATAAACTCATTTTTCTACTAGTGAAAAGGAGCACTGATACCTGTAGATTATAGAAAATAAAATAGTAAATATTCTCATTATTGAATAATGATATATTCATGATTTTGGTTATGTTAATAATAATTTGTGTTTTTCAATTTCCTCCCTAGTATGAGAAAGATCTGATCACTATTGATCTAGTGCAGAATTCTACTCAGAAAACTCAGTATGACGTGGACATAGCTGATGTGGCTTATTATTTTGAAAAAGATGTGAGTATAATCTTCCTCATTGTATTCCTTTGTATAGAAATGTAATGATGTTTGTCATGCCTCAGCGGATTCAAGATCTTTCATCATCTGCCTCTCCACATACAGACCAACCTTATTTCTGTTCTAGTGATTCTTGTGCTGCCATTAATATCACTCTTATCACCTTTCTTGTTTGTTTGTATATTTATGCCTTTTTATCAAATTGTTCTACCTAGAATATCTCCATGTAATTATTTTTATTTTTATTTTATTTTATTTTATTTATTTTTATTTATTTTTCTTCTTTCTTCACGTAATTCTTATCTATTACCTCGGGTTGGTAGTTGCTTAGTTTGTGTGTATAGTCTTTTCCTATTATTTTCGTAAATATGGTTATGTGAGAAATGCTGTGTAGCTGATATGACAAAATAGTTTGTTTAAGCTTTATATATTTTTAAAAATATTTTTTAATGATTTCAGAGAGGAAAGAGAGATAGAAACATCAATGATGAGAGAGAATCATTGATCAGCTGCATCTTGCATGCTCCTTTCCCTACCGCCTCCCCAGGGATCAAGCCCGCAACCTGGGCATGTGTCCTAACCGGGAATTGAACTGGCGACCTCTTGATTTATGTGTTGACACAAAACCACTGAGCCACACCAACTGGGCACTTTATATATTATAATATGCTATTTTTATTTTCTTATGAAATCTGGAATTTGCTTCAAAATAATTTGATCTGAAGAAGGCGGGGGGTGGAGGAGGAAGATAGAAGGAAGAATGAGTAAAATAAGATTGACCTTGTGTTTTTATTTGTTGAATCTGGTGATAGGTACATGGGACTTCATTATAGTATTCTTTAAAAAAAAAATATATATATATTTTATTGATTTTCCACAGAGAGAAAGGGAGAGGGATAGAGAGCTAGAAATGTCAATGAGAGAGAAACATTGACCAGCTGCCTCCTGCACACCCCCCACTGGGGATGTGCCCACAACCAAGGTACATGCCCTTGACCGGAACTGAACCTGGGACCCTTCAGTCCACAGACCGATGCTCTATCCACTGAGCCAAACGGATTTTGGCCATTATAGTATTCTTTCTACTTTTGTATATGTTTGGAAATTCCCCATGTTTAATGATCTTTTTTAAGTTTCAGTGTATGAGACTGTTACCATTGGAACCATAAAGATTCTTGGCAACAATTCTTTTATTTTGTTGATTTTAGAGAGAGAGAGAGAGAGAGAGAGGGAAGGAGAGGGAGAGAGAAATAGATGCATTGATAAAAAAAAAAACATCAACATCAATTGGCTGCCTTCTGCATGTCCCTGCTGAGGATTGAGCCTGCAACCCAGGCATGTGCCCTGACTGGGAATCAAACTGGTGACCTTTTGGTGTATGGGTTGACGCTCAATCTCTGAGCCACACCGGCTGGGCGGCAACAGGTTTTTTTTGTTTATAATGGACATGTGATTCACGTGGCCAGGTTTTAAAATATGCTTTAAATTGCTTTTCTCCTTCTCTATATAGGTTAAAGATGAATCCTTGTTCTATTCCAAGAGAATGGACCTGAGAATAGACGGGGAACAGCTGGATCTGGATCCTGGTCGAACTGCCATTTACTATGTTGATGAAAAACCACCTGAGTTTTCAATGCAGGGCCTAAAAGCTGGTATTATTGCCGTCATCGTGGTTGTGGCTATAGCACTCATTGCTGGAATCGTCGTTCTGGTGAGTAAAGTTTTATTTAAGGTTGTATTCTTTCAAGGAAAGGTGACAATATCAAAAGGCTTATTACATCCATGTTCCAAAATGATATAAATGAAATGGAAATCTTTTTCTTCTTCTTAATAATTCTCTATAGTGAGAGAATCTATTGCATTTCTGGTCTCTTTTTTTTTTTTTACTAAAAAATCACCTTATGAAGCAAGGAAGGATACTAATTATTAGAAAAGTTTGTAGCTGTGCACCTCACAGGTCAGTTAGGTTGCTGTCAAGCAGCAAATGTCCTTCAGTTCTCGCTGCAAGCAGTTCAACACTCCTGCTGGGATTAGCGCAATACACCTGCCCTTCCAGCCGTTCAGTGAGATGAAATGACGCGACACAGATTCAGGTTAGCATAGCAAGAAGTTAAAAGTGGTAAACGTGAAGCAAAGTGAATTTATCAGTGCTTCCAAAGAAGGATGTGTCGCGCAAAGGAGCAGGTTTATTCTAGAAATGTACGGGTGCTTCAGCTTCAGGGAATCGTACCAACATAAAGAATTCAGAAATGGATTTGAAGGTCCATGGGGATTTACATTGTCCGTTCAATGGGATTGTCACACTTGGTACTCTGCCTGGAAGAAAACAGAAGTTGCGTTTTAGTTACACCCCAGCAGGGCCAACCACCTTGTCCAGCTGTGTGATTGGCAAAGCGCCTGTGAGAGGAGTCAGGCGGTGCATGTTGAAATAACCTGTGGTAGAGAAAACCAAGTAAGAGAAGAAATCTGGAATCTGTGAGGGAGAAGATATATATTTGACATAATTGAAATTAACATCTGTATGGCAAAGAGACTGTAAAGTAGAACATAATGCCCTAGCTGGTTTGGCTCAGTGGGTAGAGCGTCGGCCTGCAGATGGAAGGGTCCAGAGTTCAATTCCAGTCAAGGGCACAGGGCTGGGTTGTGGGCTTGGTCTCCAGTAGGGGGCATGCAGGAGGCAGCTGATCAGTGATTCTCATCATTAATGTTTTTATCTCTTTCTCTCACACTCTCTGTCTCTCTCTCTGCCTTTCTCTCTGAAATCAATAAAAATATATATTAAGGGAAAATATCAATGATAGGCTGGGGGAAATATTTACCATACACAATTTTAAAAAAAGTATTATGCATAATGTATATAGAGCTCTTACAAATTGATGAGGAAACTAAAGAAGGAATGGCAGCAGGTATTGATAGACAATTTTCAGAAGAGGAATTACAGATGGCAAAAATAAACACATGAAAGATTAGTCATAGAAATCATTGGATTTTCCTGTGTAAGTGAAAGCATGAGTACATAAGGAAGCATGGTCAGATTATATGTTGCAGTGTTGCTTGTAAAGGTCAATCTGCAAACAACCCAAACATAGTATATCCATGCCATGGAATAAAGTGGCTCTGGAAAAGAATGAGTTCAATCTATAGCTTTTGATTTGGTAGGGTTTCTATGACAATACAGGCTGTGCAAAAATATTGCATGATTCCATAGTTTATGTCTGTATTAGGGTGGAACAGTCTGGAAGAATGCACATCGGACTTTTACATTGAATTAAAGATGATTCATTATTTCTTTTTAAAATATATTTTTATTGATTTCAGAGAGGAAGGGAGTAAGAGAGAGAGAGAAATATCAGTGATGAGAGAGAATGGTTGATCTGCCTCCTGCACGCCCCCCCACTAGGGACGAAGTTCACAAACACCCAGGCATGTCCCTGACCAGGAACCTAACTGTGACCTTCTGGTTCATAGGTTGATGCTCAACCACTGAGCCATATTGGTCGGACTGTTTTTATTGATTTTTGAGAGAGAGAAAGAGAAAGAGAGAGAAAGAAATAGGTTGCCTCCCACGTGCACCGCACTCTGAGCAGGCATCATTTAAGGCATGGGACCATGTTCAAGCAACTGAGCCACACTGGTCAATGCTTCAACCTTTTTCATCTCATGGCACACATAAACTAATGACTAAAATTCTGCAGCACACCAAAAAATATATTTTTTGCTGATCTTAAAAAAAGAAGGTATAATTTTTATTCATTTACACTGGATAGCTGTTGTGCTGGCCGTTGTCATTTTTTTGTTTGACAATCTAAGGGAAAAGAGGTCAGTGCCCCTGAGTAAGTAGTCAGGTATTGTATGTTTTTAAAATTCTTGTGGCACACTGGTTAAAAATTGCTGATTTAGACCAACCTTTTGTTTGGGTAGCAATCCTAAAATTGTAATAATTTTTCTTTCATTCAGATTATTTCCAGAAAGAAAAGAACGTCAAAGTATGAGAAGGCTGAGGTAAATGGATTACTTAATAAAAAGATCTTTGTTTAATCTTTTATTCCTAATAATCTCTATATCTTCCTAGACACTGGCAGGTTTCAATTACACTGGAGTCCTTTTGTAATATTGTCCATAGAGTCAAAGGAGCAGTCTTACAATGCTCCCTTACCTACATTTTTTTTGCTCAAGTTTCATGGCAGATTAATTTGTAGTGAATTCTGTCTCATATAATAATGGGATAGGAAGCCTGTATTACATATATATATATTTTACAAAGTGTTAATGTTTAGTGGAATCTTTCAGAAGCATATCCTAGTGGATTCATTTTAGAGAAACTCAGTATGACTACCTGATTTATTGTCTTTATGCTAGTGAAATTATTAATTATCATTAAAAATGAACTTAATTTATGTCCTGCTTAATTTGTTGTGTACTTACTAGTCATTAGTGTGAAATCTAAGCGTGAATTGCTAGTGTGTTTCAGTCACTTGGAATTTGATATGAATACACTTGTTCTTAAATCCATCAATAACGTTTTCAGTATACCCACCAATTTTTGTATATTTATGTACTTTTATAAGTGTATATGTGCTATTTACTGATATTTTTCCAAATAATATAGAAATGTAAAAGAATATTGAAAAAAAATCTAATAATGGAACTAGAAAGTTTTACCATTTTCTTCCCGTACCATAATCATCTGGCTTACCTGGTTTGGTGACCACTGGTCTAGAGGACTATCCCTAAACTGAATCATACCAGAAATTCAGAATGACAACATAGTGTTGTGGTTAAGAACAATATAGTCCTGGGTTTAAACCTCTCATTAGCTGGACAAATTAACTTCTTTAATCCTCCATGTTTCCTTATATATAAAGTGAGATAATAGCTCAGACTCATGAGGATTAAACAAAGTAATCCATGCACAGTTTTGGTCTCAGGCTTGCCACAGGGCAAAATGTTTGTCAGGTGTACTTGTAACCATGTCTCATTTCTGCCTATAACTAAGTGTGTAGTCTGGGACGAGCTACGTAATTCTGAGCTTCAATGTCCTCACCCATAAAATAAAAGATTGATAATAGAAAATGAATTTGTTCTTCCTAGATGTAAAAAATGGTATACATGAAAAAAAAAAATCTTATTCATTCTTAAAGACATTAGCTTACCTGCTACTTTCCCCGTCACTTTGGCCATCTTCGCTCTCTAAACAGCAGTTTGAATCATGTACCCAGTGTGTGCTTCCTTGTATGATAGCTTTCTTTTTTAAAATTTAAATGTGTCTCATAAATGTGGAAGAGAAGCATCTTGCTTTCTCTTGGTTTTGTTTTAACTTTTCAGAAAGAACAAAAGATTGGGAAATTATTTTAATTTTTTTTTCTCTTTTTGTCCATTGCAGATAAAGGAGATGGGTGAGATGCATAGGGAACTCCACGGATAACTGCTGTAATTTGAAAAGTAACTCGAAGAAGGGAAATTAGCAGATGGACTCAGATTACAAATGTATGAGCATGGGACAGAGAAATCTTTGCAGACTATTTTATTAGTTAACATATATTTGTAATAGTGAAACCTGTACTCAAAATATAAGAGCTTGAAATTGACTTTACCAATCTTAAAAACTGACCACAAATGTCATGCATATACAGTTCTGATAGTCCCGGACCTTGGGCTGCATAGTTAAAATTATTTATACACAACAGTGAAGACTGTGCATTAAATATGCTTCCACAGTAGAGTTTGAATGACTCCTGACTCATCCATTTGTGATTGAAAGCTGTCTATTTACTTTTGAGTCTTGTACATAAAAACCTTTTTTTTTATGAACTACAAAATAAACATTTTAAAACTGAATTCTAACTTTGTTTGAATCATATAGAATCAAATTTCCGAGTATATACCTAGGAAAAAATTAAAAATACTATGAAAATAAGATTAAAGAAAATGTAAAAAGTATATTTAAGCATGATTTTTATCCCATCAGTAGTAGGTAGAATTCTACATGGTCCCCGAGATTTCTTACCCTGTATGTATATGTCCTATATATATCATTCCCAATATTAAATTACGTTATATGGTAAAGGTGAAGGGATTTTGTAGATGTAATTAAAGAACCCTAATCAGTTGACTGAATTTAAAGGGCAGTTACTGTGGGTGGGCCTGACTTAATCATGAGATCCTTTTAAAAGAATGTCTAAAGTGAACAGCAATAGCAGTGGTGCTCTCCTGTTAGCCTTAAAGCAAACTGCCATATTGTAGAGAGGGTCACCTGTCAGGAAATGCCCAGCAGACTCTAGGGGCTGAGGCCTCAATCTCAGAGCCGTAGGAACTGAATCCTGCCAAAAACCAGTGAGCTTGGAAGAGACTCCAGCTCCAAATGATATCATAGCCCTGGCTGACATCTTCAGCAATCTTAAGACCCCAAGAAAAGGACCCCGTTATGCTATGCCTGGACTCCTTACCCATGGAAACAGATAAATGCTTATTGTTTTACGATGCTAACTATGGTCGTTTGTTATATAATGATAGAAATGGACATAGTAGAAAGGAACAACTTGAAAGACAATAGGAATAGCAGATATTGGGTACAGCCACTACCTTAGGGCTGAGGTAGTGCAGCATCCAAGGAAGAGACCTTTTAACTGCCCCTAAACCCCATACATACCCTGGGCCCCCGAGTTCGAGGGAGAGGCAAAAAGGTGGCTGCAGTATGGCACTGGCATCACTGGAAAGTCAGTCTTGTGAAACTTGATGAAAATCTTCCCTCTAGGACAGGAGTCATCAAACTACAGCCTACAGGCTGGCTCATCACCAGTTTTTATACAGCCCAGAAACTAGAATTGATTTTTGCATTTTTAAATGGTTAAGGGAAAAAGAATATATTGTGATATGTGAAAATTAGATGAAATAAAAATCTCAGTGTCCATAAATAAAGTTTTATTGTTTACATAAGGTGTGTGGCTTTTTCAAACTACAGTGGTAGAGTTGAGCAGTTGTGACAGAACCTATCGATGGGGTCTGTCCTTTATAGAAAAAGTTGGCTGAACCGGGCTCTAGGGTGCTGGGGAAAGCTCTTCATAGGAAGATGTCTCACCAGACACAAAGCCACTCCATAAAGCTACCTTTTATAGTTGGGGTGTGAGGCAGGTTCTCAGAAGCTGCTGGAGGACCACATTGTGCTGGAGAAGGCACCCATGCTCTAAGAGCCAGATGAAGTCCTGGGCCTGCAGGAGCTGGGCAACGGGGAAGCCAACAGTGCTGCAAGGGGACTACACTCTCCCCTTGCAGTGTCTCTCCAGCGCCCTCTGCTGACGAAGCTTCAGATCCATTTTCACAGAGCAGGCAAAAGGTGAATTTGGAACTGAGTGGCACCCTCTAACCTAGGGGTGTCGAACTCAATCAGAGAAGGGGCCAAAATCTAAAATCCAGCCTAAATCGCGGGCCGAATGGTTTACTGAACAGTCATAAACTGTCATTGTGATGGAAACGCAGCGGAGTGCAGTGATGACAGCGCTGTGCGGGCCACGTTGCAAGGCCTGGCGGGACGGATTTGGCCCGCGGGCCTTGTGTTTGACACATGTGCGTCTAACCCAATGCCCTCTAGTTTCAGTCTGATCTCTAAAAAGCTACTCTTGGCTAAGCTCAACACTGACCTGCAAATTACCAATGGCCTTTTTACCCCCAGTGTTTCATAATTTGATCTCTCCACAGCGTATCACCATGTTGACTGCTCCATGTCCTACCCCAGTATGTTGCTTACACATTTTCTCTGGCTTCATGGGCCTTAGTCTCCTGTGGTTGTTTTCCTCTTCCACTGACTCTGAAATACTGATGTTCTCAGGATTTATCTTTACTTCTATTTTTCCTCTTTTTTTCTTCCTGGAGGATTTCAGCCATTCCCTTGTCTTAGATCATAGAGTTTGGGTGAGAGGAGGGAGAAAGGCTGGAATTAGCATTGCTGGATAGTCAACAAATGATCCAAACTTTGCCGGCTTCCTGCCTCAAAAGGTATTTTAGCCGGGACCGGTTTGGCTCAGTGGATAGAGCGTCGGCCTGCAGACTGAAAGGTCCCGGGCTCGATTCTGGTCAAGGGCATGTACCTTGGTTGTGGGCGCATTCTCCAGTAGGGGGTGTGCAAGAGGCAGCTGATCGATGACTCTCTCTCATCGATGTTTCTAACTCTCTATCCCTCTCTCTTCCTCTCTGTGAAAAATCAATAAAATATATATTAAAAAAAAAAAAAGCAACAACTGTTGTTCTTTAAAAAAAAAAAAAAAAAGGTATTTTAATGTGAGTGAATGGTTTTTAAACTGAGTTGATTATCAGGCAAACCTAGGGAGCTTTTTAAGAAATCCCAAGACCCCACCTTCAGAAATTCCAACCCATTATATGTGGGTGGAACCTGGGAATTGGTTTGGAAACACCCCCCCCCCCCCCCCCCACTGGTCATTCTATTCGCTTAATCAGGGTTTGGGGCAGCTTCCTAGGCTTTCTTGGCAGAAGGGAAGCCGAACTGGAGAGTGTAATCTGATCAACATTTTAAAAAAAATTTCAACCCCACTTCCCCATCTTTTTTTTTTTTTAACTAAATGCTTATCTTCTAACGTTTATTTACTGTATTATCTAAAGCCATTCACTAGAATTAAGCACAAAGGCACTGTTTATTTATTTATTTATTTATTTTTACAAGTAATCATTAGATCCTAGAAGAGTCTGGTATAGAAACATTTTCAAATTAATGAATCAACCAAGGAGTGAACTAAACGACTACTGTGAAGCAATAAGAAGGCTGTGGAGAGTAAACCTGTAATCTTTTTATTATTTATTGATTTTAGAGAAAGTCAGGGAGGAAGAGAGAAACATCCATTTTTGTTGTTCCACTTAAGTTTTGCATTCATTGGTTGCCTCTTGGGGATCAAACCCTCAACCTTGGCATATGGGGGGGGGGAGGGGCGATCTAAACTACTGAGCTACCTATCAGGCCAGGGCTTTAGATTTGTAATCTTGATGTTGGCAGTTTACTTAAAAAAAGAAAAGGGAGGCAGTTGGGGGAGAAGGAAGCAAGTTTTAAAAAACTGGGAATGAAAAAAACAAAACAAACAAACAAACAAACAAAAAAAACTACTGGGAATGGAGAAGACCCGTTTTTCCTTGTTTTCAAGTTTCTTTCTGGTTCCACTTCCATGCTTTCGGGTACGTAAAAAAACGCAAAGCCTACCAGTACATCCCACCTAATGGCTCTCCCTGGCTGCCGCCCATCCCCTGAGATCTCAACCCTTCGAATCGAAAAAAACAAAAAAAAACACAACAAAAAAAACAAAAAACAAAAAAAACAGGGAGAACAAAACTATCTTCAGGATGGTTGCGCAGGCGACCTAGGCTCACGCAGGCGCAGTAGGCAGTCACCTGCGTGCGCGCGGGAAGCTGGGCAGCGTCCGCTTGTGATTGGCTGCGGCAGCAGGCTCCCACCCACCGAGGCGCAGCGCCGGATGCTGATTGGTCGGGCTGCAGAGGCCGGACGCCGCGCGGGGGCGAGAGGGAGGGGAGGCGGGAAACCGCTCAGGGGGTGTGGGGTCGCGCCGTTCCTCCGCCGGGCTGTGTGCGGAGAGCTTCCGACATGGCGGTGCAGCCGCGGGAGACGCTGCAGCTGGAGAGCGTGGCCGAGTACGCCTTCGTGCGCTTCTTCCAGGGCATGCCGGAGAAGCCGAGCACCACGGTGCGCCTCTTCGACCGCGGCGACTTCTACACGGCGCACCGGGAGGATGCGCTGCTGGCCGCCCGCGAGGTGTTCAAGACGCAGGGGGTGATCAAGTACATCGGGCCGGCAGGTGAGGGCTCGGGGAGCCGAGGCCGCAGGGAGCCTGCGGAGGGGGCTCTTGCCAGGCAGCGGGCTCGGGCGAGGAGGGCCCCGGGTTGGGGAGGTGGGTGCCCCGTGCAAAATTGCCCTTCCTCCGTCTCCACCCCACACCCCCCCCCCCTCCGGCCAGGTGGGGCGCCCCGCCCCGAGCCTGTTCCTCTGCAACCGCCCCAAAGCCGAACTTGTAACGAACCACGCAGGGAGCGTTTTGATTGTTCCGTTTAACAGCATTCGTGTGGGTCTGTGACCTCCGTTCGCACCTAGGTCCTGTGTCTGACTCACCATCAGCATCGCCAAGTCTCTTATTATTTATATAAACTCTGGTTCAGACGTGGGATTAGAGGAGAAGCGGGTTTGGGAGACCGTTTTCTGCCAGCCTCGATTTTTTAAAAATATATATTTTATTGATTTTTTTTTTTTTTTTTACAGAGAGGAAGGGAGAGAGAGGGATAGAGAGCCAGAAACATCGATGAGAGAGAAACATCGACCAGTCGCCTCCTGCACATCCCCCACCGGGGATGTGCCCGCAACCAATGTACGTGCCCTTCACCGGAATCGAACCCGGGACTTCCCAGTCCCCAGGCCGGCGCTCCATCTACTAAACCAAACGGGCCCCGGCTGCCAGCCTCGTTTTGCTCCCACTCGGCTTGTACCCCCGGGGCAGCGCAGGGACCATCACGAAGGGCTCTTGGGAAGCCATGCTGCCCAATGGTCAGGACAGTACTGTGTCTGGAGCCAGATGACCTGGGTGCAGGTTGCCGCTCCTCCATGTATATTAACTGTGTCCTTGGGCCTGTAATGCCAGCTTGTGCCTCAGCTCAGCATCCAGGGCCCTCTTCAACTCCGCCCCATCCACCTCCCCAGCATCATTTCTCCCCGGAAAGCCACAAACTTCCCACTCCGAGTGGGCTAGGTGTTCTGTACGTTTCATGTGGATCTCTTTCCTCCCTGGCTCCATGGTAATAGCGGAAAGAGCGCCCTGGGCGGGAGTAAGGAG